TGGCAAGTAAACAGATCCTTTTATGGGCAGTAACAGGGCCAGAAAAAAAAAACAGAGCTTCTTTGTTTTTATATTTTTATTTGTTTCGTCTTTTTGCCAGTGTTTTCATACCTGATGGGGGATCATCGGCCCCCTTGGGGATTTTTGGTGGTTGTGGTTCACGATTGTATGTGAGGCAGAAGTAGAGGGATGGAGGGGAAAACATTTATACAACAATGTCTTGTGGGGAAATGAGGTGGTCCTTTTAGATGCAGTGACTAGGACAGCCTGGGACAATGTGGAGAATTGTCACCACCTTTAGGATAACCCTTTTCTTTTTTTTGACTTCCCTCCTTTGCTCTCCTTCTCTGGGCCTGCAGAGTCCAGCAGGTGTGAGTCACTGAGAGAAGAGGTTGCTGAGCTCGTGGGCGTGAGCTGATGTCCGCATGCAGGTACACACTCACGCCCAGGTAAAGAATTTAAGTCAATCGGAGAAAAATACTAGGGCTTGAACCGATTTACACAAAAACACTTTAATTAACGGTATACAATTTTCCAAAATATAGTTTTGTAAGAAAATGCAATAATTAACGATAGTCTTTACAAACAAGTTTCTCAGTAAATTCCAGTGTACTTCAGACCCCTGTCCACTAAGACACATGCTCCCCCAGTCTCCTGGGCAAAGTGTTTAACATTCGCTAATAACAAAGTGACCCACATCAAATAGTAATCCCCTCCTTTCACTCCGGGTTGGGTTTTCAGCAGGCCCACGGGCATCAGCTAGTGACAACGATAAAAGCTGGGCTACTGTTTTACTCCTGTTCTCTCTGCCTACCCCTATCTTGTTCCCTTGGACCCTCAGTCCTGCTAGTGGAAGTCCCATATGTAAAAGTTCATTCAAAACTGTTTCTTGGTAGGTAGAACTGTTCATTTGCGTCTTAGACCTGAACGACCTGGAGGAAATGTAAAGGACCCGCGAGATCGCTGTTCTTGTTTCATGCCTTCCCTAGCCTTACTAGGGTAAGGTTTGGGAAGGGGATTCTGTCCTTTGTGACATTCTGGTGCCATGACCAGTCCTTAATTCACTGATTCCTCCTGAGGCACACGGCACTGGACAGTCTGTGGACCCGGGTTTTAATCCTGTCATGAACCATGTGATCTGGGCCAAGTCACTTTATCTTCCTGGGCTTCAGGTTCTTTTTCTGTAGGGAAAGATTGGACTAGATCTATGAATCCCTTTCTCTATGACTAGTGGCGCCTTCCGCTCAGTGCATACCGACTGCAGCCTTTACTGTGCTGGGGCTGGTGTGCTGGGGAGGGGGTGAGGGTCATATTTTAAAATAAAAATGTCCAATCTGCAAGACAAATATAATACTTTTGTCATAAGCCTGTCTTGTTACATTTCATTTTTCATTTAAAGAAAAAAAACTTGTCATTTCTAATACAACAGACATGTACATTCCTGTTCAGAGAAGAAAACAGCCATCTCTCTTAGCTAACACAGTGTTTTTTCAAAGTATATTCACACAAAGCAGTGCAGGGTGGATTAACATATGGCCATTGTATTTACAGTATCAAAAAATATGTATACATGTATCATCAGTTTCAACTTGTTCTTCAAAGTTTCTCCAGTATATTGTCAAAAAGATAAAGCTCAAGAAGTGGTTTAAATAAACTTTCTGCTTAGCTTTCCTTACGAAGAAGGGGGAAAAATCTGGTATCTAGACTAGATTAAACCCGTATCCTGCCTTACGATGCAAAGAATGTTCTGTACCTCCTTCACGAGCACTGCTGCCCCTCGCCCCACTCCCACGGCAGCCTGCTTCCCACTTGGTTCTGCCCAATTGTCAGATTCGAGGCTCCTGCCCTGCTGCGCAGCTTGGGGAAACCAGAGTTTGCCACTGAAATAAAGAGTTCATAACCTCTCTTTGGTACAACTTGTTTAAAGTCATGCTGAGCTCTTGGTGTTCCTCCTCTTCTCAGCCCCAGAATCTGAGTTACCAGACAGCATTTGGAACCCAGCAAAAATGGGGGAAGAAGATGACCGTTACAGAAGCATGGCCGTATGTATGGCCTGTTGACACAGGTGTCCTAGTGGCAAGAGCAAGATGCAAGGTATTGGCTTCTGAAGGTGCCCTAAAGGGCTAGGGCAACACAATTTGGATGAAGAAAAAGAAGGAACCTCTGAATCGGCCCAAGCCTTATCGAGGTTCTCCTTTGACAGAGCCAGTCGCTCCTCTCGACCAGGCATAACTCCTGCTCTCCAGCCCTTGCAGTCGTCAGCTCTCTCTCTAAGAGACCTTGGGTTGCAGCCCTTGAGCAATCTGCAGAGGCATATTTGCTATCTCTGTCCAAAGCCCCGGCTGGTGAAATGTGACCCAGCATCAGCAAAAGCCTAATAATCCAGTCTGGCTTCTCCCACGGAGGCCAGGACAGAAGCCCACAGGGTGGAAAGAACCAAATGTGGGGCAGGAAGGAAGCAAACAGACCTCATTCCAGTGTAGTAAGAGTTCTGTTTTTCCCCACACCGGCACTGTTCTCCATCCTGCCCAACCTCCAAATACTACAGACTCGGGGCAAATGCCGCTGGATCCTTGTTAGCCTAGCATCTCTTCAACGCTTGGGAGATCCACTGGGGCCCTGCCTGGAGCCTTGGCTTTCCTCTTCCCCAAGGACACAAATGGCCACAGGCAATAAAGAAGGAATCGGGCAGACAGGGAAGGACACAGATCTTCTCCCCACCACCCTGCCTTGTCAAATAAGCTGTTCCAAAGCAGATGGCCTATTTTATCAGAAATATCACAACCTGGGCCTGCCTCTAGGACCCTGGAGTTGGTACTTTTTATCCTGAAATGGTCATTTTCCCGTGAGCAGTTCTGCCCATCTTCCTAGTTGAGTCCAGGGAGTTCATGCCCATGGTGGTGACCATGGCCAAAGGTCAAAATTCCACACAGCACTCCCCCTTTTCAGAAAATCAGATTAAACCTCACCATGCCCAGTCCTCAGGAGCCTTCTATATGGCAGCTAACTGCTGAGCCTACAAAAACCCCATACTGGGGAATAGACATGGCTTTGTGTTTCCCTGAGATGCCACCAGAAGCTTCAGGAGAACTGCAGCAGCCCCAGGAGGACTGGGGAGGAGAGGAAACAGCAAGGCCCAGCTCTATGCCACGACAGTAAGAAGTTACTGGAAATAGTCCCCAGGCTGCCCCTTATGCACCTTAAAATGCACTGCACATTCTGGGCCTCTCTTTCCCCGTGGCGTAGGAGAACCAGAATCAGTGAGATCGGCCAACTGAAAGTCTCCAACAACTTGAGCTTTGGCCTTTGGCAGTGGAGGGCTGGATTAAAAAACAAACAAACGTAACAAAACTCCAGCAACTTGACAAGCCCCTGAGTTTCCTATGAAATAGAGAGTAAAGCCTGTCCTTCCTGGACGTGTCAATGGATTGTCTGTGAAGACATCTCTGCTGACAGGGGGCCACAGAGAAGGTCTCTCCTACAGCTACTTCTCCTTCCCACTGGGCCTCAGGGCCTTCGCCCCGTGGGCTGAGCAGTGAACACCAAAGCAGGACACCTGCTCTCAGTAGCTTCTGCAGCGTTTGGTCCCCAGCGGGAGAGGAAGGCCAAGGGAGACCTTGGGGAGCTCCTGCAAGGAGTGCTGGGGCGATGGGCGTGCGGACCCCCAGCCTGTGGCAAGAAACCTCCCGCTCTCTGCACCCACATGTGGGCCCCTTAAGCAGACCCAGCTCACATAGCGTCTCCCGTGGGCAGAGTCCCAATGTCACCAAGCAAATGCAAGGAAATCAGAATCCAGAACAAGGGGTTCAAGGTCATGAATGACCTGGGCTAGTCCCAGGGGCCCTGGGATGGAATGGGAATAAACTGGGAGTGAAGGGAGGGCAGGAATAAAGGGCGCAGGAAGGCTGGCAGGCGAGGCCAGGCAGGAGACTTGGGACCTGTGCTTTCAAGTAGTGAGATCCACCTGCGCCAGGTGCTACCCTGCGCCCCTTCTCGCCCGTCCGCCCACTGGGGTTCACCCTTGTCCAGGGAAGCTCTGGAGAGAGGGCACGAGTGAACACAGCAGTGTGGCATGGTGCAAATGGAATCTTTTGTTTTCGTCCCGTCACCAAGTGGCTCTATGACCTCGGGCAAGTCCCTTACCCTCTTCAGGCCTTGGTAATCTCACTGCGAGCTGAAGGATCTACGAGGCGATCGCCGCAGTCTCTCGCGTGGCTCGCTCTTGGTCTCCCTTCTCACCTTCCAGCAGCACTGAGCTCAGGCACTAGTGGGTTATTTTACAAGAGGAATCTACACAGAATGTGACTTATTCAGCTTGAAAAGGGAAAAATTAAGGCCCCGGGGGGATGCGGAGGACAGTCCACTCTCCCTCCCCAGTCTGTCCCTTCCCCTGTCCAAGTGGCACTTCGGGTGGTTGGCCCGGAGCTCTGCGGTGCTGCTGGAGGCCGCCAGCAGACCTGATTAGAGGTGTGTGTCTTCCTCCTCTAGGTCGTCCTTGGTCAGGTTGTCCAGAGGGACGATCCAGCTGTCCCCCAGCTCCCCATTAAGGTTGACCTTTTTCTCCTGCATCTCAGAAGATGTCTCCATCACTTCCAGTGTTGGGTTGTCATGGTAACCATTCTCCACTGTCTGTAGCTCCTCTGTTAGCCGTTGCTGGAGTAGGGCAGATGACCCAGGGAGAAAGGGTAATTGTGGAGGGCTATGGCCTTAAGGCACCCCTTCAACCCAGGAACCCCAGTTTGGCTACAGGGAGCACACACGGCTCACATGTGGGGGCCGGCTGCTCCTGGGGGCCATTCTGGCTACTGGCCTGCCCCAGACTAGTTTGAGACAAAGATTTGCCCTGAATCCTAAAATTCCCCATCACCTCACCTTTGCCCTGGTGGCAGATGTGTGAAGTCAATGTTGCCCAGAGTCCTCTAAGCTCCTTCCTTCCCTCCATTCCTTCCGCCAAAACCCCCCTCCAGGCACCCGTCTCACCCTGTCATAATGATTGGGGAAGGACTGTACGAAAGTCTCCTCCCCCAGGCGGGGGACTGGGGCCCTCTGTAAGCCTGGGCAGGATGGGTAGGGCAGTCCCAGAGCCATCCCTGCTGCAGACGGCAGCCACGTGAAAGAGAGAAGAGCTTGGTGCACGTTAGAACCACCTGGGGAGCTTTAACACACTACTGATGGTCCAGAGATGCTGCCTCCGCCAGTGTGCGAGGAGCTAGGCACCGGAACTTTCTAGAACTCCCCACAGCGTGAGGCAGGATTGGGAACCACAGATCTGGGTGGAATGTACAGATGGGAATTCTAGTGAGGTAGGCAAAGGAATTTTGGTTAGACGGGCACACCCAGGTCCTCTGTATCCGTGAGTCCTCAGAACAGCTCTGCGAGGTGGCTGTCATCCCTACTACGCAGCTGAGAAACCTGAAGCTCTGAGATGTTATCTGACTTACTCGGGCACACAGGTAAGAGGGGCAGAGCCGGGACTTACACCAAGTCTCGCTGACTCCAAAGCCCATTCTCCGCCCCCGCCCCAGGCTGCCTTTTTACCGTTCGCCGTGAGGGAGGGTCTTTGCCTGTCGGGAGGTTCGAGGCCCACTCACTTTCCTACCCTGTAACGCGGCAGTCGTGAGGGCAGCACTCACCTGGTCCTTCCTCTGGGAGAGGCGCTGGTGGCAGCAGCCATAGAGGGCCGCAACGAGGAGCAGGAAGGACGCCATGCAGACGATGGTGATGATGAGGGGCGTGCTGAAGCGGTCCTCGGCCTCTTCTGGTGGTCCCTGGTCCCCCAGCTGCATGTGACTGACTCCCACCTGGCCAGGAAGGAGAAAGTTACGTGGCAGAAAACAGGTTCTGGGGCCCCTCTCTCCGAACCCCCTTCCTTATGAGCCTCCTCTGCTTGGGGCCTGCTGGCGCCTGTTCCACCGCCCCGCTCACCCTCCTCCCTTCTGGGCGCGCGCTCCTTAGACGCTTCGTCTACGTGGAGAGAGAAACTGCGCGCTTCCCGGGGCAGGCTCCTGGCCCAGTCTGCCCGGCACCTGGCAGGAGCCCACTTACCTCTTTCAGGTCATCCCATTTGTCCTTCAGCTGTTCGTATATATCCTCGGGAGGGAGGTTTGCTGTGGGAGAGGACGGAGAGACCGGCCTCAGTGGCCGAGCTCAGAGCACACGGCAGGGGTGGGGCACCGAGGGGAGGCACTGTGTCTCTGGGCGGCCCCGAGAGGGACGCGGCTTGACACTTCCTAGGAAACTGAAGGGGCGCCACCGCCCCATCCTCCAGAACCATCCCCACCCGCGTAGGCCTCAGCCCCGCTTGCCCTCAACTCACTCTGGATCGTGATTTCTTTGACTGCCACCGCGTCGATTTCTGGAACTGGTGCCAGCAGTACGCGGCACTTATCATGAGCCGGGCTGAAAGTGGCCTTGGCTGCGCGGCACAGAAGCGTGACCAGTTTGTCATGTAGAGGAGAACTGTCTGGCTGCAGTGGGGAGCACACAGGCGACGCCTCAGGGAGCGTGAGGGCAGCCGAGGCTTGCGGGGCTGCCCTCGAGCTGAAGGCAGGAGAAGGCTATTGCCCTGCTGGAACCGATCCCCTCCCCAGCCTCAACCGTGCCACTGCAGGCCTGCCAGGAGTCAAGAGTCGCGTGTCTCCTGGGCCAGCCCCGCGCCGTCTCTGCCCCACTCAGATCGCCCATTCCCTGCACCCTGCTTTCCGGGTCTCTGCGTGCACGACACCTTTCTCCCGCCCAGCTCTTTGAGGATTGCTCCCCTTTTCCATCTCTGTCCCTGGAAGGGGCTGAAGGAGGCGCTGCACAGCAACCCCACCCCCTGCCGGGGCGACTCCCATTCTCCGTGAACCTGCCCTTCCCGGCCTTCCATGCCCAGTTCAGAGACCTCAGCCCTCAGCACAAACACCTGTGCCTCCTCCCTAGGCTAAGACTCTGGCTCTGAAGCCTTGAGCACGCTCACAGGGAAAGGCAGGGCGCCACGGAGCAGGGGACTGGGGGGGATCCTGGAGGGGGTCTCATGTGTCTCTGGGAAGAACGAACGTGTCTGGCATGCTTTAGGGCCAAGGGTGGGAGTAAAGTACGGGCAGCTATTCTCTAGTCCCTCCGTGCCGTCTAGGGGCACCCCAGCGGATGTTTCTCTGATCTGAGTCTCGAATAAGGCACTGAGAGGAAGAAAGGGACTCTAGGGATGGCTAACCTCAGGACCCCCACAAACCGCCCCTTGGGCTTCCACCCAGAATTTCCTTAGGCTAATTCCGCACCCTGAGATTAGGAAGGGATCCAGGGCTTTCCATCTTCCTCTTCTAGCAAAGTAAAAAACGCTTCTCGCAATCGCACAGCCTGCCAAGCTTTATCGAAAAAGAGGGCCTAGAGAGAGGCCACGCAGGCATCTGACCATCCCCAGGGCCAATCTCAGTGCAATTCCTGCCTTGGCCAATAAGCCCAATCCAGGAGAACACTGTTCCTTTCTGAAACTCTGATCTAAATGTATGTGTTTGTAAAGTTCATTTGGAAAATGCCAGCAAAATGGACGCCCAAAAGAAAACAACTGCAGAAAATGCAGGTGGCACTGAAGTGTCCTAAGCCCAAGTTCTCCATCCTATAGAAACCTGTTCTAGTTCCTAGGGGTGGCTGCAAAACCCAGCACTGACCAGGAGAGGGCAGCAGCGAGCCAGTCATCCCCTGCACCCCCGGGGCTCAGCCGCTGTCTGGGACCAAAGGCCTTAACCCCAGGGCGACTGGCAGTGCGGAGGCCGCTCCCACGCTGCTCCTCCTCTCACACAGACGTGCTCACACGCATGCTGACACACACACCACCAGAGAACAGCTGCTGGCAGTGGCTCCTGACGTACCTGGGCCCTATTCTCTCTCTCCCACCCATCCCACCAACTCCTCAGGTTAGAGGGAGGGTCCCCCACTCTGTTCCTCCACTGAGGCTCTCAGTCCCTGCACCAGGAAATGTGAAACCACAGACTAGAGCAGGGAAAGTCAGGCAGACGACACCTCTCATTTTCAGTTGAGACCCTGAAGCCCAAAGAGCAACTTAACCAAAGTCACCCCCAGAGCTAGGGGCAAACAGGAACCAGGAGCAGGTCTCCCGGCTCGGACCCCTGGGACAGTTACACAGTGGAAGCCGGGGAGACCGGGGTGCTTCCCTGCCCTGCGCAGTCCCGTGGGCATGGCTTGACTTAGAGAAGTCTGAACCTCGGTTTGCCCTCTCTGAGCTGGGAAGGGGCCGCTTCCCACCAGGAAGAAACGAGGGCAGGAGAGCGGAGTCCCGGCTCACTCGTTCCCCTGCACCCCCCACACCGGCCGCTAGCCTGCGCCTGGGTGCTGCGGTGGAGGCGAGGGCGGGCTCTGACCAGCGAGCTACTCACACACGGGCTGGGTCTCGTGAAGTTCAGGACAAGCAGTTTCTCACTCAGTTTCTCAGGAGGATCGCACTTTATCTGGAAGAAACCACTGAGATTAAGGTTCAAGCTAAGAGTGAGGGAATCTTTGACCCTTCCTATGCCCTGGGTGGGTGACCCAGAAAGGGGCGAGTTCAGGGCAAGCTGGGGTGTGGCTGGGCCAGTTCCAGAGCCTGGCGTCCTGGCTGCCCAGCTGTCTAGGCTGGCATCGGGCAAAGCCAGGGAGAGAGAGGGGCGAATGGAGACTGCTGCCCGCAGCCCCAGCCAGGGGCCCTGGGCTGGAGGGAAGAACAGAAAGGCCTTTCTTGGAGGCCCTTCTACCAAGTCTGGGCTCTCATTTGTCCCACTCTTGCTGAAATTACCCTGTCATTCCCAAGAGCCGAGCTGGGAGAAGGCGTGCTGGGGCCCTGGGGGACAGTTGTAGGCAACTCGGAGATAGAGCTCGGGGGTTTCCCGACGGGAGGCGTGGTCGCAGTTCCCGGTGCCAGGCTCGTGTGCTGTGGCACCACCTTGGAGGAAGAGTCTGTAGAGACGGCTGGCCTCTGGCTGGAGGTCTGATGAGTTCCTTGTAAGATAACCGTCGGTGCTGTCATTGGGAAAACAGGTGATGAGAAAAGACGAGTGTACCCTTGAGAGAAAAGGACAGTCTTTTCTTGTTGTAATAGTTTTCTCAGGTCCTTTGGTCTTATCCCCCATGGAGATGGCCAGAGCGGGCCCTGTAACATTTTGCAGGATGGGTCAGACTGGATGAGCCAGTGTAAGGACCCGGCAAAGGAAGTCACAGCAACGACACCGATGCCACAGTGACAGCCAACACTCACTGAGCACTTCCTGCGATGGACCAAGGGCTGCAGAGGTACTTTCCTGCTTCATCCTCACCCTGTGAGGAAGGAACCATCATTATCCCTATATGATAAACAAGAACACTGAGGCTCAGAGGTGCTCAGGGATTTGCCCAGGGTCACGTGCCATTAAGTGGTGGAGCAGAGATTCGAATCCAGGTTTACCCAACTCGAGCCCTGGCTCTTACTGCAGCACGTGGCACCCTCTTCTGGCACGGCAGCCCCTCACCTCCGGGTTCAGAGTCTCAGCCTCACGCCCAGAAATCTGGGTCAATCAGTCTGAGAGGGGTCATGGTCTCGGGGCTCAGGAGCCATCAGTAGATTTGGAAGTTAATTTACTAGGTTAAGACCAACACTTAAAAATAACTATAGAAAATATCAGGATGTGTAACATATAGTAAATCCTATTTATGAAACTTCTGTTTCAATGGTGTGTACATTACATGTGTGAGTTCTGCACCATGATGTAAAATTAAAATGCGTTTCTTATCGTAGGCTGCCCTCGAACAGGTCAGGGAAGCTGTCGCAGAGGACTTCCAGTACCCTGCCACCATCACCATCCAGCCTCAGCCCTGCATAGACCACTGGCCTCTGCTCATCGCTGCAATGGGAAGCGGGGGGGAACGAAGGTGGCGTGTATTCACAATATTTAACCCTTGGCATAAATCTCCATTTTCCAGCTGAGCAACGCTATAGGATGTGAACATTGAAAAGTTTCTTCTTGCCTGAAAAAAGCCCAAAGCATTACTTACACACTGTGGTAGGCATCCCGTGGGGTGTGACGGTGAGGCCAGGGGCAGCTGTAGTGCCCAAACTACTTGAAGCTGTGGTAGGATGGTGTTGTCCCTTGGAAGAGCTCTCTGAGGTCTCTGAATTGGGGTCAGTCAATTTGGGAGAGCTTGTTGGCATGGCCGGAGAAAGCAGAGGCGTGGTGTGTGTGGCGGTAACCAGATCCATAGGCTGAAAGGCCGTCTGCTGTTCCTCCCTAGTGGGTGTGGCACCTGTGGAAACGCCGTGGCCACTTTGGTCTCCAGGTACAGCTGTACTTTGAGTTCCATCCTGGTGACTCGTGGCTTCAGGCTTAGCTGAGACAATGGGTGATACAAGGGTAGTGTTGCCTGAACCTTTGCCTGAATCTTTAACACCCGTTGAGCCAACAGCGGTTGTCGTGAGGCTGCCTGAATTCGTATCAGTGGCCACTGTGCTTGAGGTTTGCTTAGGTAGGGTCCCCGCTGAGCTGGTGGACACTGTAAGGGTGCTATTCGTGACCAGGGATGATGTTGCTCTCCCTCCATCACTGGAAGGTTGAACTGTGCCTTGTTGGACTATTGCTGAAGTCACCATTGCTTTAGTAGGTCCTGAAGTTGCAACTTGCTTGCTGAGGACCATTGCCTTTGTGGTGGTAGCTGAGTCACTACTGGGCAGGGATGCTGTTTGCAAAAAGAAAACACAGCATCAACTTAGGGTATCAGCTAGGAGCTTTGCTCTCCGCACTTCTCCAGCTCCAGCCCGGCATGCAGAGGCCTTGCTCCCAGCCCTGCCATCTGCCTTGCTAAAGGTCTGGGTCCTTGATGTGTCCAGATTTTTCTGGGGTTCGAGACACCTCTAGAAGGGAAGCCTGGAGGGAAGGAGGGGAAGCCCAGGCCAGCGAGTCCCACTGCACACGCGGCTGCCGCGCATCCCTCGCCCTCCCCTCCGGCCCCACGCACATCCCCGCGTTTCTCAGTGCGCCGCCACAGAACCGGCCACCCAGGCACGTGGCCCCGCAGAAGATTCCACAGACTGATGCTTACGGAACTGTCCTGGCCTTGCTCTCAGCATAAGCAAAAGAAGACATGGCCTCTGTGCTCATGGAAGTTATAACCCAGAAGGAGGAACCAGCAATAAACTGAAGTTACACAGATTATTATTCCGGGACCATTGCAAGCGGTGCCAAGGAAGGGAAGCAGAGTGCTGAACTGTTCAGCGGGCTGGCTTCACCTGACAGGGTGCAGGGAAGGAAGGCCTTTCAGTCCTTTGATTAATAACGCGTTGACTGAGGGGACAGGATCTGTGTCGGACCCTGGAGATACAATGGTGAACACCCCGAATCCACACCCTCGGGGAGCTTACTCTCTGGTGGGGGAGACAGAGACTAGACAAGCGGACAGAACAAGTACATGTCAAATTCTGGGCACCACTGGGGGGAGTGAACAAGGGAGAGACGTAGAGCAAACGGGAGAGGGGCTATCCAAAGAGCGAGGCAAGGAAAGGCGCTTCCCAGGCGACCATTACGGGAGACCTGAGGGATGACAAAGAGAAGTGGGGGGAAGAGTGTCCCTGGTGGAAGGAACAGAACCTGCATTAACAAAGAAAAACTGTATGATCTTAATATATGCAGAAAAATCAGTTGACAAAATTCGACATCCATTTATGATTTAAGAAAGAAAATCTCTCAGCAAACCAGGAATACAGGGGAACTTCTCCTTACCTAGTAAGTGGTGTCTCCAAATCAACCTACAGCTAACTTGGTACTTAATGGGGAGAGATTGAATGCTCTGCCCCAAAGTTTAGGAACAAAGCAAGGATGTACTCTCTTCCACTGCTACTGAACACTGTGCTGGAAGTCCTAGCCAGTTGAAAAAAGAGAAGAGAAGAGGGAAGAAAACCTCTTAAAACTCAACAATAAAAGACAACCCAGTATTTTAAAATGGGCAAAAGATTTACACGGAAAAATTGCCAAAGAAGATGACACATAATGTGCAGATGGCACATAAGCATATAAAAAGAGGCTCAACATCATTAATCATTAGGCAAATGCAAATTAAAGCTATTAATACAATGCAATACCTATTAGAATAGCTAATAAGCAAACTGACAAAACCAAATGCTAAACAAGAACTCTCATACATTGCTGGTAGAAATGCAAAATGGTAAAGCCAGTTTGGAAAACCACTCAGCACTTTCTTTTAAAGTTAAGCATACAATTACCATATGGACCCAGCAATTCCATTCTTAGTTATTTGCCCAACAGAAATGAAAATTTGTGGTCACACAAAAACCTATATGCAGTTTTATTTATAATCACCCAAAACTGGAAACCACCAAGATATCCTTCAAGAAGTGAATAGATAAACACACTGTAGTACATCCATACGATGACTACTCAGCAATAAAAAGGAATCAACCATTAATATTAGATTCACATAACAGCACAGATGAATCTTAAATACATTTTGCTAAGTGAAAGAAGGCAAAAGTCCTCATAGTGTTTGATTCCATTTATACGATATTACAGAAAAAGCAAAACTATAGGGACAGAAAACAGATCAGTGGTTACTGGAGGTTGAGAGAAGGGGGTGGTGGTGACCCCTCTACTCCATACAGGATTATTTTCAGGACAATGGAACTATTAGTACATGGTACTGGGATGATGCACAAGAGTCCACGAGACTCTGCATTTGTTGAAACCCATGGAACTGTATACCACCAAGAATTAACTTTACTTAATGGGATGCTTAGGAAATCCCAGGATGTGATGGAGACTACAAAAATAAACTTACCTATATTACAAATGTATAACAACCTCACTGAAGGGGGTGGGGAACAAGAGTTGACCTAAGTGACTTTGGAAAATAGTTTTTTGACTTGACACTGTAACAAAAAGCACTGTATATAAACAGTGTATGTTAACTGTTTCCCACAAGGTTATGGCCTATCAATTTCAAACCTACTTTACATATTTACTGGGACTGAACAAATAATTAAACAAATTATAGATAACATGAGCCAGGCTTCTCACTGTGGGAGAAAGAACTTACAAATAAGAAAAGGGGGTGGAGAAGAGGCTTAATGAATCCTGTGATGCTTGATTAGAGACAGAGATGCCAGTATGAACTCATGTTTTAACAGACAATTAATATAGATAGTGTGTACATACATAGATAGCACACAGACGTACATTTCCTAGCTCTGTCCACTCAGAGCATCTAGAAGTGTGACAAACTAGCAGCACAGAGTACACCCGGCATCCAGATTTGGTTTCTAATGCCATTCTCCAATAAAATGAACCAGGGCTCCTTGGAGAAATGGCTTGATTCCAGTGCTGATACAGGGAAAATGCAAGATGAGCCTGGAACATCTTGTAATGCCAGAAAATAAAGAAGTGCTTAAAAAAAAAAATAGTAGGCATGTCAAAAAAACATAGGAACCAACCTGAAAGAGGGAACAACCTCAAAGAGCTCACAATGGCCAAACCTGGAACAATCTGAGCAACAAAACAAAAAATATTGGCTTGGAACCTAAAGAATAAAATAAATATCCATGAATCTATTCTGATAACTAAATGATTGAATAAATAAATAGATGAGGGAGAAGAAACAAATCATCCTTATTGTGGGATTTCAAGAAATTATAGATATTCTCGCCTCAAACTTCTCTATAGAAGAAAACAACCCAATAGAAAAATAGACAAAATAATTAAACAGGTATCTGACAGAAAAAAAAATAGCACAAATAACCCATGAACATCTGAAAATGTTAGTAATTAGGGAAATGCAAAATAAAATAAGGAATTATTTCATACCCATCAGATTGGCAAAAATTTTAAAGTCAGACAGCGAGTGGTAGCAAGAACATGGAAGAGTGTAAATTGATACACACACTTTGGAAAATAGTACGGCATTACCAAGTAAAGTTAGACATTTGCATATCCTTCAATCCACGACTTCCAATTGTACCACTAGGAGTTTACCCTAGGAAGACACACACAC